GGGTGGCAGTCTTTGGTTTTTTGGAACCTTCACATGTTTATTGACAGAGTCCTGAATGGCTGTAAGTGCTGTTAATCGTCTTTTAGGGGTTAAGAACTGAGTTTTGTGAAGTCCAAGGAGGTTTTGTAATTGTCCAGGTCAGAAATGCAGGATGGGAAGAATTCTTCAGATCGATAGCATTAGTTAAAACTGTGTTACTAAAACCATTAACAAATCTTGGTTCTATAAAGCAGACAGAATTCTTGACAAACTTAAGTTGTTTAGCAGGTATCTTTATTTTGCCTGTTAGGTGTAGTTAAGGAAATGAAAAAATGTATTTGTTTCTTCAGAAATAAGAGTCTTTGGTCCTAGCAGACAGTCTTTTAAAGATCTTCTGTTCTCTTTTCTTGTCCTGTTCCTTAGCTTAGCAGGCTAAATAGCCTGCTGGTTTGTGTTAGGCTAAACATGTATCTGCAATGTAGAGTATGTACATATGTGCTTAGCATAATCATCAGTGATCAAGGAGAAATAAATCTGCGGGCTGGTGGAAGACTTTTAGAAACTGAACAGCTCTACTGCAGGGTTATAAGTCACTTATTGGAGAGGAGTTTTATAAAAACTACTTGGTTGTGGAAAGCATAGCAGAGCACTCCGGGAACATTTCTTTTTCAGTAGCCATAACTATTAATAGGGGTCACACACAATGTAAATCTAGTGTAACATGTTAGTTAATGTCTGGTCCTTCTCAAATGATGCCCTGGGATTTCTCTGGTACTGTGCTATTCCTGTAAGTTTTGTCATGCTCACTAGTCCTCAGTACAACTTCACATGTGCCAACACGTGTGACTACCCAGGTGATAAATCTGATGAACACCATAATCCTGCAAAGGGTTCTAGGAGCACAGCTACCACAAGGATCATCCCTCTGCCTCTCTGTGCATCACTGTGCCAGTGCAGCTGTGGGATTAACCTTACTTTGGAGCTGTTCTGACTGGAAGAATAGCCTCAGATAAAGCAAGACTTGCATTTCAGCATTTTACAGAGTCTGAGATGGCTCATGACTGAAAGGTGGGTGGGATAGGAATGAGCTGAGGGACCAAAAGATGGTGGGACAAAGAAAGTTTTATTCCTTTGGTGTTATGAAATCATAGAATGTCCTGAGATAGAAGGTACCCACAAGGATAATCACGTAGGTCCAGTTTAAATGCAGACCCATCAGAGCCAGGATCTCTGTAGAACTTTGTTATAAATGAATGTTAGCCAGCTAGTGTCTGTACAAAAGGCAGCAAGACTTGACACTTCACTGGCAGCTGAGGCACAGAACTCTTGGCTTGAGTGCAAATAATAAGTGCAGCATGAAACAGCCTAGTGTTGTTGGTAACTGTTAAGAAGAATAGCATAACATAATGCCAAGGCCACTTCTTTCTTTCCTTCCCCTGCCCACCATCACATATACTTTCAAATTTTTACTGGGAATTTTTTTTTTTAAAGTTCATTGATACAGTTCTCAGCACAGGAACACAAACCTGTGTGCTGTCGCTGTGGTAGTGGCAGTGACAGGTCTGCACTCCAGTCAGAGATAGCAAAAGGAATATCTGAAGCCAGTGCATCTCTGAGCTCTTTGAAATGCAGAACCATTACCTTAATTCCAAGTACCACAACCTATTCTCTGGGCATTTAGCTGCAAGAGGACCTCTCCCTTCATCAGAGCCTTAGGGGGAGTGTACTTTAGCATTTCCTTTTCTAACTGTACATTCTCTATTTTTCATGCCTGTCTCTTTAGGTTTAGTAGGAGTTTTGTATAAATACAAGTACAGCTTCTGGTAGTTTACTGAAAAAATGTTAATTGAAAAAAAAAAAAAGAGTTCACAGCATACTCAAGTAAAGGCTTTAAAGGAGAGGCTAGTTCAAATCAGATCTTTAGCTTTGCAGCTGTTGTGGTTTGCTACTGGCTAAACACCAGGCACCCACAAAAGTTACTTGCTCACCCTCTCTTGCTCTCAGCTGGGCATAGGGAGAAAAAAAACTAACTAAGGGCTCATGAGTTGAGGTGAGGACTGAGAGAAAACACTCTTAAGGGCAAAATAGGTTCAAATTTAAAGGTATAAAGTAAGTTTCTTATTAACAGAGTCAGAGGAAGATAATGAGAAGTAAAATAAGCCTTTAAACCACCTTTTTCCATCCCCAGCTGAGCCCTCTTTCCCACTGACAGTGCAGGGAGACAGGACATGGGGGTTTTGATCACTTCGTCGCCTGAGATCTTTTTCTGTTTGCTCAGGGAGAGGAGTCTTTCTTCTGCTATGGCATGAATCCCTCTCACGGACAAACTGTCTTCCCAAAACTATTGTGGCATGTCACTTGTCAATGGGGTGCAGTCCCCTAAGGATAGGCTGTTTGAGTTTGGAAGCAAGGGCCCTCAATCCCTGGAAGCAGAGGCCCTCTCTCTCTATTTGGGTCTCCCACTGGATCGCAGCTTTCTCTGGCATCCACCCGCTCTGGCACGAGCACTTCTCCCATTGGCTGCGAGTGGATCTCTGCATCCCCCATGGACTTTGTGCATCACAGGGGGACAGTTTGTTTCCCCATAGTCCTCATCATGGCTTGCAGAGGAATCTCGACTTTAACACTTGGAGCACCTCTTCCCCCTCTTTTTCCACTGACCTTGGTGTTGTCCTGCTGTTCTCCCTCACATGTGCTCCCCTCCTCCTCTGCTCTGCCTAGAAGTAAAACTGCTGCTCATAGGTACTTTTGATAACAAGTTCTGCTAATTCGAAGATTCCTACAGGATCCCGCTGCTCAGAGACATTGATCTCGTCTAGGTTCCCTGCCGGAGAGTCTCTCACCATATTTCTGCTGCTGGCCATGCGGCCCCGACACCACCAAGTGGGCGGTGACGGCCAGCACAGCACTGGCGCTGTTTAACGCCTCTCTTCCTGCGGGGCGCTGGGAACGAGAGGCTGCTGCCACTGGCCCTGCCCTTCTTCCCGCAGCACGGCTGGCTGGGGATGGCCGGGCAGTGCCAGGATGGCAGCAGCTGCGGCGCCTCACCACCCCTGGAGAAAACTGCGCGCGTGTGCTTTCAATTTTCCTTCTTAACTGTGTCATCAGAGAGGCATTACCACCCTCTCTGACTGAGCCAACAGCATGTCCATCTTCAGAGCCATCAGAGATTGGCTCTGTTGGACATGGTGGGAGCTTCTAGCAGCTTCTCACAGAAGCTACTCCTGTGGCCCTCCCCCACTACCAAAAACCAGGCTGTGCCAAATCAGCACAGCAGCTTGTCTTGTGCAAGGCTCTCAAGGCAGCAGCATTTCTAATCTTTGTTAATAATGTAGCAATACTTGGTGATCTGACTCCATTAGCTCCTAAAGTAATAGCCCACGATTACTGAACTGTGTTTTACTTTGCTAAATTGAAAGGTGAAGTCTGCCTTCCTGAGCCCATGAATTTACCTGTTAAAATGGCCACAGCCTCTGGCTTCTTTGAGTTTGATTGTATGACTTTGGATAAACCTGGTAGAGTGATACTGAAATGGAGTTGCAATTTAGATTTTCATCCTGAGATTGATGCTCCTGGTATTCCATAAAGTCATTTAAGTAGCAAACTAGAAGATAGCCATTGCCTCCCATAGATTTTAAAGATAAGCATGTATATATTGATTTTCATAATAGTTGTACTTATAGCAGTGCCTTACCTGCTCCAGTGCATACAAAAGATAATTGACTAAGCCATCAAAAGAATATTCTTAGTATAGAAAGAAGGGGAAGATGTTGGAATCCGAAATGCAAGGGTCTCTCAGAACTTTGGGCCTGTAAGTCAAAGCTTAGAATTAAACACAGGATTTGATCTGAGACCCTGGAAAAGGTTTCCAAACTTAGGTGCTGGAAGCGAGAATGTGGATTTATAGTTTAAAGCAGGGACATGTTAAGCTAAATAGAAGAAAGTTTAGAGTTTTGGAGTTTAAGATACAGAAAAAATAGAAGTAGTTACAAAGGTAAACAAGAGGTTTAGAATGCAGTACTGTAGGTTTATGGGTCATAACATGAATGGCTAAGAAAGTTTATACTGTAGCATGAGTCCATAAGATGAAATATTTAAGGATTGGGTCAAAAACATAAATATCCTTGTTGGTAGTGTTTTGTTGGTGAATAAATCCTTAAAAAGTCTTGTAACTAGAAGTCTTGTGACCTTCTGAACCATGCAGTGAAGATGTGAGCCAAACTCACCCTTCCTGCGTATGTAGAAGATAAGAAAAATAAATCCCATCATCTAAAAAACTCAGAGGTACCATCTCTAACTCATTCAAAACTCCTTCAAAAATCCCCATACCATATCTCTGCCAAATCCCTTCTAGGGGTGTGTGGTGCTGCCAGCATTGTCACATTGCTGTATGTGGGAAGGGCAGAGATGGGGTGGGCCAAATTCCCCAAATCCCAACACTGGTGACAGTTACTGTGGCCCTACTAGTGGTTTGTAAATACCCTGCTTGGACCATTTCTGCAAAGACTTTTCCTTTCCTAGTATGTTCTCTGGGCAGCAGTAACAAGACTGATAGGCAGAGTGCTGAGCGTTACTAAGACGATGATGATTTTTAAAGGCACTTGCATGTTATATTAAAGCATGTGCTCTGCTCATTTGTTAGTTTAGATGTGTTGTGCCTCTGTGTTTTACAGTAGTGAGAGAAGTTATGCGTAGCTAACAGCAGAGCTTTCTTTTCTGGCCTCTGGGATCTTGTTTTTGCCCTAGATGAAGAATACATGCAAGTGAGGACTGAATACCTAATCTGAAGTAACCCCAAATTAAATTTACTTTCCTTCATTCTAGCAGTGGCTCTGTGTAAGGAGGGGCATTACAGCAGTTTTCTCTGTCACGCACCCTACTATGCAAGCAAGAGAGAAACCCAGGCAATTTTCTTGCCATTTTACATTGTGATGGAAATGAAAGGAGCTGCCTTATTGCTGGAATATGGTATTATTGCTATGACAGTGTGAGCTATATTGTTAACTATTTTTCTATTACAGTTCACGATCTGCAGAGCTTCGGACTTGATAATGTAAGTGTTCCTAAGGCAGTGTTCTAGTTCTTTTAGTCTATTTTCCTTCTGGATTTCCCTCACATTGCTACATTGAGATCCTAGATTGCTGCAGATTTGGCTTTTTGGGTCTAAGCAGAACCTGGGTCCTGCTTTCAGAGTGTTCTGAATTACATTCTGTGACATTTGCATGCTGCTTGGCAAGCCTGTGCCTCTCTTCCTGAGCCTGCCTTTTTCCTTAATCTATGCTTCACAGTTTCTTAAGGTTGATATTGTCACAGCTGCTTCTGGATCTGTTGAAGTTTACCTTGTGCTGGGAGGAAAGCAGACAATGCTCGTATTTATTCCTCAAGGCAGCTGATAGCATGTGCTCCTATTGCAGAGAGAGGAGTGGGTGGGAGAGCCTGCTCTGTAGATGGGAGGAAAGGACACTGAGATCTGTGGAGCAGGAGAAGGAGAAATACCTTGTCTTGAAATCTCCTATGAATAAAAAAGAAAAGCAAATGTTTTGGAGTTTACTGTTGGGATGCAGAGAGAAAAGAAGCACCTGTCTCCATTCTAGAGCCACGCTCAGAAAAATATACCAGTCATGACCATCAGGCCCTTTACCTCACCCCTCATGTGCTGTGCAGCTATTTGAGTTACTAGCATTTCCATTTCAGATCAATATGACGCACTATATCAAACATCTCTCATTTGGAAGGGATTATCCTGGCATTGTGAACCCTCTGGATGGGACAGCCGTCACTGCACAGCAAGGTAAAAGACAGCTGAAAGAAGCCTCTTTTTAAGTGTCTCTATTAATAAGTGTTAGAAGAGAACAGGAGCAAAGTTCTCAGTTTCAACAAAAACCCTGACAGTGTTATGTGAAATGTGACTCCTCCACCTTGTGCTCTTTCTGGAGCAGCTGTCTCCATTCGCCTGGAAGAAATCTGCCAACATGTTTGGATTCTGTGACCTTCCTGAAAGGTGTCTCTGTTCAGTGTTTGTGAATGCACAACAGCAGGTACAGCATGTCATTATTAAAAGCCTACCTCAGATATAGTTCAAGGAGAGCCCTGTCTAACTACTACATACAGTGAGAGAGAACCAGAAGATGCAGGGTAATCAAAAAAGACCTAATTGGTAGTTGCTGGAGAGCTGTGGTGTCTGCCTGACCTTGACATACACAACAGTAAGAGCTTGAAAAGCTGCAGTGAAGTTGAAATATTGCTGATCTTTTCTAGATAGCTCCAAATTTTCTGGCTTGTGGGACAGATTTTTCTTCCTGCTGCTGTGCTTGAGTTTATATCCACAAGCCTGCTTTTTTATGAAAGGTCCTTTACATGCCACTGCAGAGGTGTTTGTTTTTTTTTTAGATCCACTGAAGTCTGAATAGTTTGTCTTTGAAGGTAATTGGAGCTTATGTAATAAAGCTTGGAGAAAGAAGTCATTTGCTTTGAAGTGGTGATAGGATTGTTAGTCCTACCTGAATCTGTTCTTTAAAGTTTTCTACCACTGATTTTGATCCTTGTACCCAAATCAGAGCATGGCATTTGAAAAAAAAAGTACAAAAAATTAAAAGGTTTCATAATGTTTGATACATTTATGATGCTGTAGTTATTCTGTGGAGTAACAAACTATCTGAGAGGGAGGACCTGTAGCTGACTGGTAAATTTCTGCATAAGCTCAAGCTTTTCATCCTGAGCCTCAGGGAAATTTACCTCAGTTGGTAAATTCTTGAAGAATTTGTTCTGAAGACATGCTCCAGTAAAGAAGTGGGAGCAGTAGATTGCAGGTCAAATTTATGTTTATTGCAGCTAAAGTTACCATATGAAAGAATTACTTCTGCTGCAGAAATGGATGGATAGTCTTCTCTAGGGAATTTTAATAGAATATAATTCTCTTCTTGCATTGTGTTATCCTTAAGAGAACTGAAGGAACAGGTTGGTCTGAGGCAACAGAAGGGGTCTTCAGTGGTCCAGATCTTCCCTTTCATTGTCTGATACAATAAATGCCATGCTTTCACAGGAATAAAGTGCAGTGTTAATTGAAGTTGATTTGAGATACTCATTTAGACCTGAATAAGTTTTCTTAGGGCCATGTTGTTAAGAAATTTCCTGGACTAGAATTGAATTTGCAAGAAGTTTTACTGGTAAAGGTATAGCAAGTTTGTAGAAGTTTTTCTATTTATTCAAGGCCAAAATGCCATGAGTTTTGGTTTTGGTTGGAGCAGAAATGAAATTCACTTTGGCAAAAGGAAGACACATTTCAGACATTAACTTTACTGTCCTTGAAAACATCCAGCAGCTATTGTGCAGAAAGATGTTCCCTGACAAGCTGAACAAAACCAGTTTGTGTCTACCTGACCTGTCAGTGAAAAGCTTCCAGCTTATTGCTTTATATTAATTGTGTCTCTCTCTGTCTTTGCTTACAGCTTCCATGATGTTTCAATATTTTGTCAAAGTGGTCCCCACTGTGTACAGGAAAGTAGATGGTGAAGTAAGTATCTTTTTCCCTGCTACTCTGACAAGTGAAAGCCTTCACTTTCTCCTCATATTCTTGATGCTGACAGTAACTGTGGATTCAGATGTGTTTCCAGATGTATACCAGGGGCTGTATTGTACATTCAGTACTTGGAACCCCACGTGTGGAATTCAGTAAAGAAACCTGGATTGTATGTTTCTCCACTTGGATTGTAATTTGTGTCAGATAACTTAGTAGGGATGATAGAACATAATTTCGTTTTACAGAAACCCAGTTTAATTGCTCTAAGAATAGGGCTAGTATGAACAATGTGTAGAAAAATGGCAGGGCGCAGAAGAATGCTGAAGGGTGATCTTAATTTATGTGAAGACAGGCTATCTCTGCCTTTCTCTGCTCTCCTGCCTCTATGTATTATTTTCCTTGTTCTCACTCTTGATTATTTATGGCTTTTTGCTATCAGTGCTGTCTCCTGAAGCACGCTTAACAGGATTGCATTTTGGTCCTGCAGAGGATGACATAGACTCAGGGTTGACAGGGACAGCTTATCCTATTGTGTGCCAACAGAGACCAAATAGTCCAGCCTGGGTGTTATGCTTCCCTCATACTATGGGCTAGCTGCAGCTTTGACTGGTAGCCTGTAGTAAAAGTAGACCTGATAGCAAATACCTGATCCTGATAGAGCTCTTCGTGACTCTTTCTAGCCACTGTCAGGCTGCCCATATGGGCAGGACTACACTGATGTGGTTCACTGAACTCATGTTTTAGTAACCTTTCCTATTCCCTGTTAGCAAAACAATGTTTGCTGTGTTTGTTTCCTGGTAGGTGGTAAGAACTAACCAGTTCTCAGTTACACGACATGAGAAAATAGCAAATGGGCTACTGGGAGACCAGGGTCTGCCTGGTGTCTTTGTGCTGTATGAGCTTTCACCCATGATGGTGAAGCTGACAGAGAAACACAGGTAAGAGATATTTCATTCTATTTTGTTCATCCTTCATTGATTTTGTAATTTTGCATAGATTGAAACTTCATTGTCATTTAGACATGATAGTGCAAATGCCTGAAATTCATCCAAGCCCCTTCCCAGGCTGTGGAAAGGAAGAGGTGCTCACCGATGCCCTTCCTCTCAGTGTGAACTGTGGTCTGGGTTTTTTCTGTTACTATGTATCAAGATGGAAAAGGAAAGTGGTGCATGGAGCAGAAGCGTGATATAATGGTTCTTGGTTCAGACGTCTAATGGGAAGATTAGATTTATGGAGCATACCCATTTTGCCAGCAGCACCCACACAGTCCAGCTGGTTCCTTACTCTGCATTTGCTATAGCTTTTCTACATCTTCCAGCCAGTGTGGAACCTCTTCTCTCTGGGTTAATGGCTGGCAATGCAACTGCAGGGGAAGGGAAGGGGTTGTAGCTGTCCAATCTTTGAGGTTCATAATGGAGGGCAGAAAATGTCTATATCTTAAAATACATTAACGTGTGCTTAGGATTTAATTACTGTGTCACGTGACCCTCCTGTGCATTCTCACTGGGTAGGAATGAATAATGTCTTAGGGAATTAAAGCCTGTCTTTCAAATTTATAAATTCAGTACTTCCTCTTAGTACTGCTGACTAAAAGTAGCAGTGACAAACTCTATTCTGTAGCCAATAGGGGTTAATTAATTCTTTAATTTGAGAATTGTTAGCTATGAATATTTAGGTAATGCATACTTACATGGTATGATGAATATTAGAATTATTAGTTAATTGTTACATACCTGACATTGGTATCTGAGCTCATGCTGGTTGTTCAAATTCTAGGTCCTTTACTCACTTTCTCACTGGAGTTTGTGCCATTGTTGGAGGCATATTTACAGGTATTGCACCTTTCAATCATTTTGCTTTCTAAAGTGTAAATATTTACTATCTTACACTAAAGTCTGCATGTCTAGTAGTAAGTCCTTTTTAGATTAAGAGATATTATTTCAGTTCTTGGGAAGTGATACAGCATGTTCTGCAGAGCTACAGGAGTGCCATCAGACTGTAGCTAGCACTGTAGGCTTACGAGATGCTGTAGATAATGTAGACCTATTACAGCATTTCATTTCATTAGATCTGTAGACCTGTCATAATATATAATTCTGATGCTCTACAGGACATTTTGTTTTCTGACAAAGCTGTTATTCACAGACCATATGAAAGTGTCTGTACTTGCATTCTTGGCCAGCTTGGGTCTGTAAGTAGATAGTTGTTTTCATGTGGAATCAATGCCAGTTAAGTCTGTGAACCCAGGTTGCCATGGGCATAATATATATCTGAGAGATATCAAACTGCTTCCAAACATAGGAGGTCTAGCTAGTATTCTGCAAGGACTAGACGGGGTCTTGTGAGAAGGGGCTCAGAGGTTCCTGCAGATCCATCTGAGTATCTGCAGTTCACTCTCAGTGCTGGCATCTGGAATAGCTAATCAGTATCTGCTCAGCTCTGTGCATTGGTGCAGCTGTGCTCTCCAGGTAGTAATCCAGGGTGCTCATAGTCAGACATGTAGATGTTAAGGACCAGCCTGAAGATGTGATCAGGGACCTGAGAAACCAGTTTCTGTTTCACTTAACATCTGTATCAAATACCTATAACATCATACCTTTATCTGCGAGGTTTTCCCATCATCTGAGATGTCACAGTGCTCAATTAACCTGATACTGTTAAACAGAATTTCTGTCTGCAATAAATTTTATCCTATTCATCTCTCTGATTTGAAAAGTTATTCAGAAATTACTTTCATGACAAATTCAGGTGCCCCTTAGCACTGACTGGGTTTGACAGCCAATTCATGTTTCTGCCATACACCATGCTCAGACTCTGTATTCTAGAGATCAAATCAACTACTGGCCAATAAGGTCTTTACTTGTACTGGCAGTAGTGTGGCCAACAGGACCATGGCGGTGACTGTCCCCCACTACACATTGATGATGCACCTTGAATCCTGGGTTCAGTTCTGGACCCTTCATGACAAGCAAGACATTGAGGTGCTGCAGCAAGTCCAGAGAAGAGAATGGAGCTGTGGAAGGAGCTAGAACGTAGGTCTGATAAGGAGCAGGTGGGGTTGCTCAGCCTGCAGAAGAAGAAGCTCAAGAGGGACCTTCTTGCTCTCTGCAACTGTGTGAAAGGAGGTTGGAGCCAGATGAGGGTCAGTCTCTTCTTCTAACAGGGACAGGATGAAAGCAAATGGCCTCAAGTTGTACCAGAGGAAGTTTAGATTGGATATTAGAAAAAAAAAAATGTCATAGAAAGGGTTGTCTGTGGCACAAGCTGCCCAGGGCAGTGGTAGAGTCACCCTCCCTGGAGGAATCTAAAAGATGTATAGATGTGACACTTAAGGACGTGGTTTAGTGGTGGGCTTGGCAGAGCTGGGGGCAATTGGACGCTATGACCTTAGAGGTCTTTTGCAACCTAGATGATTCTATGCTATTCTAACCTAGATGGTTCTGTGCTATGCTATCACTCTAAAGTCACCTCAGTGTTCGTGTAACAGTATCAAATTGATCCCACAAGTAGAGATAATTTCAGGGCAAAACCACCACTCAAGAGTTATCTGAGGCATGATAGACCAAATATTAAGTCCAAGAATTCCATATTATATAGTAATAAACAGAAGATTCAATTCCCATTTTACCTGCATTGCTTTGTATCATATTGAAATGTCTTTGTATACAGCCAGGCAATCATTTACTTATTCCTTTGATTGAAGTTTTGAATAAAAGAGTATGAAGCTTTATAAAATCCAATCATTGGAAAATAGCTCCTGAGCAACCTTTGTGTTCCTTCCCTGGCAGGAGCTCAAGGTTCCTGTCCTGTGAAAACCTTGGTTGTCTGGGGTTTGTGGTACAGTAGACCATTCTGAGTTTTTCTGTGGTCACAAACAAACACTGAGTTAATAGGCTTCTTCAGGGCTGGAGAGGTTTGAGGAAAATATTGCAGAAAGAATTAAAGGCAGTGGTTTGTATTGCTTTGTGTCTGGTGGGTGTACATTGCCATCTCCAATAAAGGGCATCCTTTAAGGGCAGCATATGGTACTTTTAAGGTTGCTGTGAAATGAGCAAGAAATGGGAAACATGTCCTTTGCAAGCTGAGTCAAGGCAACAAGTGGCATAAAGCACATCAGCTTCATCTCCAAACTCTTCTCGGTCATCAGTAAACACACATGACGGAGCCTGTCTTTTATTTCTGGAAAAGGGATCTTTTCTAGAGAAGTATGATCACCTCTGTCCTGCAGGGTGGGTCTTGTCTGTCCTGAGGAGTTGAGGACTTTACTGTTCTGAGCAGCAACAGCAGCAGCAGAGCCTTCTGTCTGGTGGACCTGGGATTCCTTTCCTCTGACAGCAGGGTTTGTGTTTTCTATCTTTGGGAGTTGTTCTCTCTTTGAGGCATGTCTGACTTCATCCATTTGGTTTTTCTTTTTAGTTGCTGGTTTCATTGACTCCTTCATCTATCACTCAGCACGTGCCATCCAGAAGAAAATTGAACTTGGGAAGACAACATAAATAAGCAATGGCATCAACCCATTTAAAAACAAATAAACCAAACAAACAGACAAACAAAAACAGACAAAACAAAGTAATCCTCCCAAGCCTCCATGGAAAACTGAACAGGCTCTTTGAAGCACAAGTGATCTTGTGAGAGTGCACAGGAGAAGAGGTTTGCAACTTCCAGATGGCCCTAACCACCCATATGTTACTGTTCCCTGATTCTTTGGCCTTAGTTTGTGGTTCGAACAACTTGAACCTTGCTGCTATAAAGATTAGCTATCGCATCTGGCTCTGCAGGCCCTACTGTCACACTCTTTTTGCGTCAGTCCATGTTCCTCCAGTTCTATTCCCCTTCCCAACAGAGATGCTGGAGATACTGCATTCTGTTTGCCTCTAGGAATAATGTACTTTATTGTCAGGAGACCTGTAATGGATTGAAGTTGCCATCAAATAAGCTTTCTAGCAGCACCATCAGGGATTTTTAATTTTTCCATAAAATGTTTCTGAGTGCGCTGATGCTGTAGGTCAGACCTCTAAAAATGTGCTGAATCCCATCTGTTGCCTTCCAGCCATCCTGGACTGTATGGGGAACCTAAGCATTTGGGATGTACTTTCTGTGCTGGGGAAGCTCCCAGTTGTTCTTCTTCTGAAAGATGCAAGTTGATGTTTCAGAAAAAAAAAGTGTCCGGAATTTTAACTGATTTTTTAATTGGATTTTTTTTTTTTTTCATTTCCTCTTGGTATATATTTTCAAATAAAGTCCATCCTCTCTTGTGCTAGTAAGGCATATGGAAGAATAATTAAATTATTTGAACTAGTCCTGATACTGAATTGGAAATAAGAATGAAACGACACATTGCATTGTGGCAGAGTATGTAGAGATTCTGATGATGATGGGGCTTTTTTGTGTTAAATCATTACACAAGTGAGTAAAGTGCTTGGTATCTGAAACTATATTGGGAGAAATTTGAAAATAATGAGGAAAAAATTTTGTGAATTATTGCCTATTTGATGTAAAACAGATTGATTACTCTTAAATCTCAGATCTGGATTTGCTTTGGTATGACTCTGATATTGGTCCAAGCAATTGGACAGGCACAGGATCAGATACTGCAGAGAGAAAGCTGTTTTATAATTTATTTTAAAGCTGGTTTTGCTATGTGGTTGAGTTTTTTAATTAGTTGAACTTACCTGTAAACCAGGGAATATAAAAACTGCTGTTTTCTCAGCTGGGGAGAAAAGCAATTTGTGGCATGGGTAAGGAGAATTATTATCTCCAAGCAAGAATGTTGAAAAGCAGGTTTGTTTTAAATGCCTTTTTACAAGGATATTTAATGAATCCAGTGGGTCAGGATCACATACTACAGCATGAGGAATGGAACACAGTATCTGTATGTTTCTCAGGATCAAAAAGTGACCTGAACAGCTTCAATTGCTCATCAGTGCATTTCAGCTTTGCAACTAAATTTATAGGAGTAGTAGGAGAGAGAAGATGAAAGGAAGTAATGCAGCAAGAGTTTAACCCACAGTAAAACAGTTATCACTGTTTCCTGTCAAGGGCTGGCTTGTCCTTGATAGGAAAGCCAATTGCTTGTAACCGGTACAAGCATTGGAGATTATTTCCCAGAGTACACCTGAGGACTAAAGAAAAGTGAAGGGAAGGTGAAGGTGCAATACTTGTACTCATCATGGGAAACTGGGAATAGTGGAGAGAAGAAATCTAAGACACTGAAATGGAGATTCTATCTGGAGAGATAGAAAATTAATGAACCTAAGTTCATTAAAGTTAAGTAATACAGGCTTCTGCTATCACTAGGAAGGATATGAGTCCAAGAGTTCTGGTGATTTGAATAGACTGAAAGCCCAAGTGACTAAGAACCATGATAAAGCTGAATCTGAACCAAGGATGTTAGTGATTGAAAGTGATAAAAGACATCTTGCTAACCCTGCTCTGGAGTACGAAAAAACTTCTTTGGGGAGGTCAGTCCCCAGGGTCTGCAGTCTTGATCTGCATCCCCATGTTCTGCAGGGATGCTTTTTCAGACTTGTAAGGGGTCAAAAAGCAAAGGAGGTGGTGGTTCATGTGTTTTCAAAGTTTATTCAACGTAAGATCATTTCAAATGTGTTTGATTCTCTTGTCTTCTGTCACCATGTTTGATTTGTCCCTTCTTATTCTTTCTTGATACAATTTAAAAAATATTCCCTTAGTTAAGGACTGTAAAAATAAAAGTCTTAGTAAAAGACTGGGCAGGATGAGGAGGGCATCTTCCTTTCCTAAGAGCAACTACAAACCTCCCCCAAAAGCCATCTGTGGTTGAAAATACCCGCTCTGTCATGTGGACAGCCACATTTGAGCAGCTGCTGTCCACCACTGGCTTCACAGCCCTGCAGGGCCACACACAGGCTCCATGCCCACTTCCAGCCCCAGCATCTCCTCTTTGTCCCTCCCAACCAGCTTGGGCAGAACTGTGCCCAACCTCTGTCCAGCTGAACACATCATTGCTACTGCCATGGGAGAATGGCACCCACAGTACCCAGCTGGTAGGACCAGCACAAGCAGTACCAAAACCCTGCAAATTGCAGGGTCTGTGAGCCCAGGTGGTGAGGTGGAGCAGCAAGCTAAAGAGCCAGGACAGCTGCTGGCAGTGTTCTTTGATAATTCCTGGCCAAACAGCCTGGCTCTAGTTTCTTGGAAATGCATCACTTGTAGAATACAATCCTTCCTATATGTACCTGTTACTCAATGGGGCTGAATTCAACATCAGTGAAGCCGCAGGGCTCTCGTCCTGCAGAAGGCTCCAGACCGGTGAGGTTTTTTCCCATTAGTGGGGCCAGTTCCCTTCACTGTCTGCTCCAAAGCCAAACACGGAGACCTGTGTGCATGCCAGCAAGAGCCAATGCTGTGTGGGTAATGGGGCATCCTACAAGCATATGGACAAGCAGTGCAAGGGGAGGTACAGTGGCAGCAGCTGGTACTACCATTGTCTGTGCTCACCTGATGGCAGGTGTGCAAGGCAAAGAGCAGGGCTGTGAAGCCAGTGGAGAGGTATCACACGTGATGCTGTGTCCAGTTGTCATGGATGTACCTGAGGAAAGTTGGGCCCAGATCAACACCTGAGTGGGGAGTGGAGTGATATGGTGCTCTCTGTGCTGGAACAGGACAGCCAGCCCAATACAGTGCAGCCACTGGCTCACTGCCCAGCAGAGTTGTGCCTGTCCCTGAGGAGCTGGAGCCCATGGAGCCATTAGCTTGTTCTTTGATGAACTGTTTAACTCTCACATGTGCTGCAAAAGCAGAGGTGAGCAGTGATCATGTACACCTGCTGCTGAGGGGACCCATTTCTTTGCAGAGGGTATCTGTTGTCTCCCAGCACCCAGCCTAGTGGCATCTCCCACCCCTTGAGCTGGCCCAGCTGTAGGAAGGGACGCATCAAGCCCATGGCCCCTCTGTGGGCACAGCTGCCATCCCGCTCATAGGAGTATGGTACTACAGGTTGCCTGAGCCCTGTGGGGACAGGTCAATGCCCAGCTACCTCAAAGTGCAGGGCAGAGGGATGCCCAGTACCCTTTGTGCCATCAGGACTAGTGCCAGGTCTCCAGTGAGGCACTGGAAACCCCGACCACACTGCGCCATCCGCAGGGTTTCCAGCACAAGAGACACCATCCCCCAATGCTGACACACCGTGTGAGTTCTCCCGTGGAGAAGACACTGGTAACCCACTGCAGCTCCAGAGGTTTGAAGGGGACAAGGACAAGGTGAACATTGTGCCTTAGGTTCACTGCACTCTTCTGGGTACATGAATGTCGCTGTAGAGATGGACAAGACACCTCTTCATGCAAAATAGCCCAATCTTTATTGTTCACAGTTCATATTTATCATATTTATCTCAGTTCTAAAGGCATCATGTTTAATTGGTAACTTACTGCAAATCAGTTCATTGCTTAGTAGTTGCTAGTGTATGTGTCCATCAAAAACTTTCCTCTCTAACGATGTTTACATTCTTGTTTCATGGGTACAGAATTATTCTCACAGTCAGAGCCTCTATTTTCACAGGTGCAATTCCTTTCTCACAGTAACTTGCTAGGCTAGCTGTTAGCTGCACCCAGCTGATACAGCAGGCCTAATCTATGATTTTAGGGTAACAAGGCTCTTATTCTATAAGGCTTTACCAATATGCAACACATGAAGAGATGTGTTGTTCTCATTCCAACATCCAGCTCAAAGCCAGTGATCTTTGCTCTGTTCACCCTAAAGGACAGCAGGATGGTGTGTCCCAAAACAAAGGTGCATCTTTCCAGGCTCTTGGTCCCACCAGCCAGGGACAGCAGGTCACCCCAGCCAGCAGCAAAGAGTGGATATGGGTGACACAAGGCCTGTGTCCCGGGATGTAGGGCTCTGGAGAGCAGGGTCAGCCAGCCACCTCCTTCACAGGGTTTGTATTGGCAGATTTCAACAGCATGGACAGGGGCTGAGGCGTGCTAGGGTTTTCAGAAGACAGGGAGAGACCAAGTCCCTTTAGGTCACCCACCTCAGCACCCAGTCATGAGCGTCAATTAGCAGCCCATGACTGGACTCTTTCTGTTTTTTCTGACTCAGCTGCCCCAAGTTCCCCACCACTGCATACGTCCTGCAATGAGATGGGTCCCACACATCAGCTGTGAGGGCCCAGAGGACCTTGAAGAGCTGCTGAAATATGGCCTGGAGCTGGATACCACTCAGGGGACCTTGCAGGGTCTAGGGGAACAAGCACTGTGACATGCAGCATTAGCACCTCCACCAATAGCCCAAAGGGAGACAGAGCCCCATTTCTCCTAGCAGAGACCTGGGAAAGAACAGAAAAAACAGATGGGATATTAGGAAAAGGGTGCAAAACAGCTCAGGCAGCAGGGTATGAGGGGGAGGAAGGATTGAGCTGGGATCTCTGCATCCCTCTATCCCCATCATATCTGTTCTTGGCCCTGCCCCACTGCAAACAGATTCAGGGAGCCTGGGATGACCAATAAGCACCTGCCCATTCCCTCACTTACCAACCACCACTGAACTTCATCTGAGGAGAGCTCATGGTGTGCACCTGTCAGCAGAGGCCCTATGGCTGCCTTGTAGCAGGTGTTGAACCATGCAGAGCTGTTGGTGGGGGCTGTGCAGTGGGCAGTGAGGGTGTGGAGGAGAGAGGGAACCCAACAGACAGGACCACTGCCATCTGTGAGGGCTCAGAAACATTGCCACAGGACGGGCAGCACAGGCCCAGCACCACCTTTGTGTACATCTGTAACAGCATCCTATGTGCCACCTGCAGTGATACATCACAAACACCAGTGGCAGTGGCACCACAGAATGCCTTCTCACCCGCCCTCTCTGCCCAGCTTCCTAGGACACCCCTTGGATGCTCACCCACCCTGAGGGAACTGAAATAGCCCAATATTAATTTCCTTTTCTAACTGTTCAATAACATTATTTCTGTGTTCTGCTGTTGCCACTGCCACCATTTACTTCAGGGCAGACAGAGCTGGCTGGCAGCATGTGCTGTACAAGAAACTTCTCTCTGCCTGCAACACATTTAGGATTTGTAAACTGACCTGTGAACTAGTAGCAAAGCATCATCACCCTGGCTCAAGTCAAACACCAGCTTCGCCATCCTAAGTGGTGTACATTCACCTACCAAGTGCACAATGCTAGCAGTGAGCCCTCTTCCCCATGCATGAAGAGAAGCCGGGGCAGAGGAGCCCCACCGTCTGTCTGCCCTGCTAAGCCCATGCAGGCACCATGCAGCTCCCACCCTAGCAGTCCTGGGGTTCTGCAGTTTCAAGGGCATTAAATCATTGCCAGGTAGAACATCTGTTCTCTATCAAAAAGCATGTAGCCTAAGGTCAGAGGGAAAAGGGTTTTCCATTCCTCAGGGAATTTGTGAAGTGCTCAGTGACTTAGGACTTGGCTTCTGTGGCCCAAGGCAAGAGCAAAGAGCAGAGCTTCATGGACAGCCTTCATCCCAGGGTCAGAAGAGAACACAGCTGGTTTGTGCAGGTGTTCCCTCTGTACTAGAAAATCCCTCATGTTCTCCCAGCAGCACCTTGTGCCTCCCTCAGTTGCTATGTGTCAGCACTAGCTCCATTTCTCCATAGAAACCATTTTCTGCAGCTCCTGGAGAACAGAGCCCTAATGGACATCCCTGCTCACCATGGTATCTGATTCAGATCTACTCAGATCTGACCCCCAGAACATGTCCCAGACAGCAAAACTGCTGTCCCAGGGGTCCAGTCAGCCAACAGAGATGGGAGACAGAACAGAATGGGAGAATCTGTGGCTGTGACAGCCTGGTCAGAGAGTGAGAAAACTAGGTAAATTTTCCCAGAATCAGCTTGTGAGACTTTAGGGAGTTTAAGATAGACAGTGATAGCTTGTTATTGTAAACCACCTGCAGGTGTTGTTTTCTTACTCTCTGTTTTCCTGTTTTTCTCAAAGATTGTATATAAGAAAGGCATTTTGTTAATTAGCCAATCAGGTGAAATGTATTGATAATTGACCAGTCTGGTCTATCTGTATTGGAACAGTGTATAAAAAGAGAGAATTTGAAGTAAAGCAAGCTACTGTGCAAACCATCCTTCTGCTGGTGAGTCTGTGTCGTTTCTTACTTAACAGCAAAAAGAAGCTGCATGATCCTAGGTGGCTAAAGCATGGGATGCCTGCTGTCTCTTCTAATAGCCTGTCCCTTCTAAAAGCCCAGGAACCATCACCCCATATTAAAGGGGGAAGCACAAACAAGCCGTCACCAGTGCAACTGGAAACCCAGATGTGAGTTCTCCCAAGCAGGAAGTTGCCATGAAATGCCAGCTCTTCTCCCCACAGGGTGGCTACCAGAGCCCCCACACTTTTCCTGCTGGCGTTCACAAGTTCCTATGAGTTCATCTTTTGTACTCTTGCAAGCACCCATTCCACTGAGCACAAACTGGTGAAGGTGATGCTTCTGGGCTCAATAGCTTCTGCAGTGCTTTTTGCAAGTGCAGCAGCTGTGAAGGGAAGAGGAAATGTTGCACCATGCTGTGGGGGAGAACTGTGGGTGGTGCAGTGAGGTCAGAGCTGCTGTCCCTTCTTCATCAGTACCTGCCACTCTAGCATTCTGGCACAGCCTCTCCATGCAGCCCTGAAGCTGAATGCCCCAGTCAGGTTCCCAAGGCCAAATCAGGAATTCAATGATTTAAGAAGTTCCTCTGGGTGGGAGAATCTGCCTGGAGTGGAGCTGCTCTCCTGCCCCTGTGTGTCCTGCTGGGATGGCTCACTGATACCAGCAGCACAGAGCTCTCAAGAGCCTTGTACATCCAACACCTCACCAGGACTCTTGCGCACCTGGATGTATTTTGGCTCAGAGGGGAGCACTGTGAAATGTGCTCAGCAATTGAAAAGCACAGCCAGTGAAAAAGCAGTGCAAGCTGAACAGTGATTATTTTATCCAAGGGGAGATCAACACTTTGCTTTGCAAGGAAGTTTGATGCAAAGATGAAGGATCTAGAACTCAAACTAGAACAGCACTGGAAAACGCAAAGTGTCTGTATTTACTGGTTACAGGATCAAAGGGCCTCTGCACCACTACCTGGGAGCCAGGCAGAGGCTGTGCCCTGAGCTCTCGTGAAGCACATTTTCTCGATCACACAGAGAATGAAACATGGGTTGGAAGAAGTAGGCACAGCACAAGCTCTGTGGTGCTGGCTCCACTTGTTTGCTTTCCCAAGCTCCAGTGTGCTCAATCCTCACCACACTTACAAAGACCGTGAATCATGCAGAGCAGCAGTTGATTCTGAAGGAATCAAAGAAGGAGAGAACTTCTTTATCAGACACAAACCAAAACTAGTTCCACTGTCCTGATCCCAAAGCTCCTGGCAACGGTGTGAAGAACAAAAATGAGAGACTGGGATGTTTCATGTGCAGAGGAAGTGCTGAGGTAGCAGGTCATCTCTGGGGAGTTTGAGAGAGGGATCCAGAAGATGCCTCCTTCTGCTGGAGCACCCTTACAGAGGCAGCTGATTCTTTGCACCAGGCCCCAGGCATGTACAGGTGCACCATATGGGGTCTTAGTTTCCCAGGGCAGGTCTGCACAGGGAGCCAGTAGTGCTGCTCACCATGATATCAAGATCAAGCAAGGTGTCCCTAAAGAAAGGGCTCTGCCTTTGCAGTGTCCTCAGGAAGAAAGGTGTCTCCTGCAGCCCAGAGAAGCAGGGCCAGTGCCAGCAGTGCACTCTTCTCCATGTCCAAAATTTCATTCTGTGACCTGCTAAAAATCTGGAATTATAAGCAACACAGGGATAGCATTACCAGCACTTAGCAGGGATATGTCAATGCCAAGGAATCACAGCACTGCTGAAAAGAGAAACTGTTAGGGCCAACACAAATTTAGGTCAAAACCAAAGGGGATAAATACTTGCAGATGTGGGAGCTGAGCTGATCCTGGCCTCTGGCCACCTACCAAACTACTCTTCCAAGGAAGAAGGGGGTGATACATCCCAAGCATGGCCAGAACATGGATCTGGCTCCTGGAGGGACCGGTGTGGGCCAGTCTGTTCTACTGTGCTGGGTCAGATGTGCAGACGGGGTCCATGGATTTCAGGCACAACAACAATCAGGCTGGTCATCTCACACCTTTCATCACATGCGGACAACAGCAACATCCACTGTCAGGCAACACAGCACAATCTGGTCCTCTGCCATGGTATGATGCGAGCAACAAACACACCATCAGTCTGCGAGCTGGAAAGGGAAGGGCCTGTGGACAGGATGGAGAGCAGCAGCAGGGGAAGAGGACATGGCCAGGAAGCAGAAGGACATAGCATGGAGGTTTGGATGAGAAGCATGTTACCAGGAGGTGGGAGATAGGCAGCTCCAAGGTGCTCCAAGAGCTGCCAGCATCAGGGTGCAGCTGCTGTGCATCATGTGCTTGGCACCCTTTATTGCCACCATGCTTCCCTTACTGCTGAGATCTGCTGGGATGAGGCTGGTTCCTCAATGCACCCAGAGGCTCCAGCTGTCCAGATATCCATCCTAGAGACCCTGGGGCTGCTCCTGGTGACATTCTCACATTTGTCAAAGATCTGTGCTGTGGAAGACCCTGCCTCAGCCCTCAGTCTGCCACCCTGCCTGGGCATGTGAGAGCCTTCTCTTCAACTCATGGTGTGAGACCAGTACTAAGCACAGCCTTCCCATACAAACATCTCCGCCCTTGCTCTTGTCCTCAGCTGACAGGTGCCTGTCACCTGGTGTTATGGGTTCGGGAGGATGCCCATGCACAAAAAACTCAAGACAGTCAGAACAGCAAAGCAAGTCAATTTTATCTGTTGCATTAGCAATAAATACGTACTGACCCCTGGATGTTGGAGATGCCGCCAAGCAGGAGAAGGAGATAGAGCATGGCTCCTGAGCGGGAGAGGCAGGAGGGCAGCACACCTTCAGGGTGTCCCCTGGATCAACACGGTGTGCATCATGTCATCCTTTCTCTCCACCCCAGGACCACACCCTGTATCTCCTCCTCAGGAGTGGCCAGTTTCAACATCATCTCACATGGGGTCAACACATGAGATTGAGATCACAATGGCCTATGATCACACTTCCATGCCAACAACAGTTTTATTGTATTGCTTCCCTTTCAAAGGATAAATCCCACCAGGTGACCAACACATGGTTGCATTTCTGAAGGTTAGTCCTACCAACTAACAGTAAGTTCTTCTTCTACATTATTTTGTCGATGTGCATAACTGCAGACCAAATATGTTAGGCCTTAGACCCATCTTCAGTCTCTTACACCCCTGGCCACCATAACCTGTCACATGCCTTTATCAAATCTTTGCTTTGGGTGTTTTGCTGACACCCAAATATATTCACACCACTCTGTACTCATGGTGACAAATGGTATGGTGGTGCCTGATCTGGTACAGATCAGTAGGCCCACAGTGATGAAGGGCCACCCCATCCCCCGTGGTGCATCCCTGTAGCCCTCCACTCCTGCTCTTTTTCTCCAGGCTGTTGTCAGTAGCCTTGCAGTGGTCCATGTGGCTGATGAAGGCAGAGGTGATGGGTGACCTGAAGTCCTCCTGCATCCACTGCACACTGAGATCAGAGCAGTCATGGTGCTGACCAGGAAGGGGAACTGCTGGCATGAATCATGGTCACATTTGGGCTTGGAGGGGTCTGGGGCAGAGGCCTAGGGTCACTGTGCTGCCAGCAGCAAAGGCAGAACTGAACCTCTTGGCTTGCAAATTCACACCTTGAACAGACACCACCCCACCCTCCATTCACTTTGTACACACAGACACACACCTGCAGATCTCAGGCACAAAGCAGCAATTATAAACCGAAGTATTTTGAGGAAGCCTGCGTATCTCGGCTTTATGCCCAGAAATGTTTGCTGTAACTTTAAGGTGGGTCAGTGGGCGGGGTGCAGGTGTGGGAGCCTTGCGAGCCATGGGGTTTGTTCAAGCTTCCCTCCAGGGTGTGCTGGGTGTCAAAAAGACCGGATATTACTTTGTTGTTTAGCTAGCTTGGTTTTTTTGTTAGCTTAAGCAACAAGTTTCTTTCTTCCCCTTTCCCTGTCCTGGCGAGACTGCGGCAGGAATCCTTCAGCGGCTTTTTGGGTACTTTTTCCTGAACTGTTCTGCTTCGTTTTGGTCGGAGATCCGACAATCGACAGGAGACTGTCGGCCAGGAGCTGCTGGAACCGCGGGAACCGCACCGCCGGTTCCCCAGACCTCGGGGAAAGCGGAAGCAACAAGAGAAAGGAAGCCAAAATCCACCAGCTTCATCTGCTAGGAGAAGGAGACCAATGCCAGTGTTTGAACAGGTGCTGTGATGGGAAATGTGGTTGAGCATGGCTGAAAGAGCCAAGAGGGCTCTCTGGAGGTGTGTACTGGATGTGCTGGAGTGCACTGAGTTTGTTTGAATGGAGCAGTCACTGCTGGGGCTCACTGGGCACTGCCGGGGAGGACCAGGTACTACTTAAGAAGGCAACATCCCACTAAACAGGCCCTGCAGAAAAACAGGGAGCAATGCAGCACTGTCACAGCCCAGGGCTTTGCTGTAGCCCCAAGCAGGTGTTGCATGACCTGAGCCCTTTGCAGCCTATTTCGCTCCCACCTTGCAGCCCAAAGGTCCCCTAGAGGGAGAGAGGCCTCCCTCTTTGCCTTCTGGGGTCCCCACCCCATGGCTGAACTCTAGACTCACTGGGGGAACATCATGTCTGCCCGACACTGACTTCTGGGTTCATGTCCAGCCAGAGTCCTCACCTGCTTCACATCTACCTGCCTGGCTCTGCCCATGCAGTTTTGTCCCCAAAATACTCCATTCCTGCCCCATTCAAAAGGCCATAAGGCAGGCACCTTTGCTATAAAACTGCATAGTCAGATAAATTCTTTGGAAAAGCTGTGGTCCCACTAAGCATCACCTGCACTACTCAGAAGGAACCTATCCTCTCAAAACCCTGGCTGAAACGCCTCCACTGGGATCAGATCATGTCCGAGCTTGTCTGCAGATGACAGGAAACCTGGTGCACCACAAACCATGCCAAGAACAATTTATGAATTTATTTTCTCATTTAGTTTACGTCAGCCTGACACCAAAC